TATTATATGTGATGACGGATTTTCCTAAATTAATTAACTAACTTTTTCAAGTAAAATTAATCCTTCATTTGTTTGTTAAATTAATTATATCTCTATATAATTTTAAATAAACTAATGAGTATTAAATTCTATGGAAACCTCTAACTTAAGAAAGAAGATCTCCTAACTCTCTTCTCTTCCTCCACTACTACATGTGAGCTAATTACCTCTCGGTCTCATAGTCTAACACACGATTTATATTATTATTGGTCTAATTTATGCAATTCTTTCTCAAGTTCATGCATAAATTGCTAAATCAATTGAAAGGTAATCAGGCTAATCAATTGAAAGGTAATCAGGCTTCCAACGTATTAAGTTCAATAATATAAACTCTTCGTGCGGATAATTTTAACTGAAAGTATAAAAATCACAAAATCTATATTAAATTGATTAGGCTACATCATAGCCTTAATAAAATAAATTAGTTTATAATAAAGATAATAAAATCTAAAATCACACTTATGAATATAAGAATATCTAAGGAAAAAAAAAAATCTAATTTTAGGTAATTAAAATCCTTAATCTTCTATTATTGATGGATTCTCTATCTTAATCTTCAAGAATGCCCAAAAGAGGTTTGCCACTAGCCTCCCAAAGCTCTCTAATTTTAAATTTGGATGGATATTTATAAGATTTTATAAACACTAATTGTAATAGAAGTGAAACCCACACTCATAATAACCAATTAAGCACAGATTTTGTGAAAATCGCCTAAGGAGTCAACACCTTCAAAAAGGTGTCGACACTTTCTGTTCAGCGCACAATGCCATTACGTGTCGGGTTTTTGGCCTTCTTAGCAATTTCTGTAATGGTAAAATAATAGTCCTGGTCCGTTACTTCTGGATTCTGCACATGTTGATCCTCAAGTTTTTGATCTCTGCAATTTACTCAAAATTGTGATTTCTTCCAATTAAGTCTTTTCCTACACCAAAAATTAAAATTATGTAAAATCAAGTAAAATCTCATAAAATTCATCTAAATATCAACAATATCAAGGCAACAATTTCACATTAACATGTATATAAATTCAGCTCATCACTTCACTACAAACGAAAAATGTTCTCTTTTAGGTGAAACAAGAACTGCCCCCATTCCACTTCTATTTTGGTTCGCAGCTCCATCAAAATATATCTTCCAATTAGAAGTTTCGCCATTGCTTTCTTCAATTGCCATTATATCCTTATCAGGAAACTCCTAATCAACTGGCTGATAATCTTCAACAATGTTTTTTGCAAGATGGTTTGTGATGATTTGCCCTTTATCACCTTTTGAGTCATGTAAATAATCTCAAACTCAGATAACAACATATGCCATTAAGCAATTCTTCTAGACAAAGAAGGCTTCTCAAATATATATTTGATGATATCCATTCGAGATATTAGACATGTGGTATTGGAAAGCATATAATGATGAAATTTCTTAGCAATCCAAGCCAATGCACCACATATCTTTTCCAGAGATGAATACCTACTTTCACAATTGTTAAACTTTTTGCTAACATAATAAATAGCCTGCTCCTTTCTACCAGAATCATCATGTTGAGCAAGAACAGCTTTGATAGAACCTTCCAACACAGTCATATAAAGAATCAATGGTCTTCCATCAACTGGTGGCACAAGAGTTGGTGGATTCTTCAAATACTGCTTAATTTTGTCAAAAGCTTCTTAGCATTGATCATCCCACACACTATGATTATTCTTCTTTAACAATCAGAAGATTGGATCACAAATAGTTGCCATCTGAGCAATGAATTTGCTAATATAATTAAGCCTACCCAAGAAACTGCACACCTTTTTCTATGGTTTTTGTGGAGGCATCTCTTCAATAGCTTTGATCTTGGCAGGGTTTATCTCAATTCTCTTTCTACTAACAATGAACCCTAGGAACTTGCCTTTTTTGACCAAAAAGGTGCATTTTGCTAGATTAAGCCTTAGTTGGTGCTTTTTTAATCTTTCAAACATGATTTTAAAATTCACCAAATGATCTTATTTTCTCCAAACCTTATTATCATGTCATCTATATAAACCTCAATGATTTTGTGAATGAGGTCATGCAACAAAGTATTCATTGCTCTTTGATAAGTTGCCCTTGCATTTTTCAATCCAAATGGCATTACCTTGTAGCGAAAGGTGCCCATAAAGTGATGAATGTGGTTTTGATCTTGTTTTCCTCTTTCATCTTGATCTGATTATAGCCAGAATAACCATCCACAAACGAAAATTTAACACTTTTAGTAGCATTGTCAACCAACAACTGAATATGTGGTAAAGGCAAGTCATCCTTTGGGCTTGCTTTGTTCATATCGTTATAATCCACACACATTCTGACTTTTCCATCTTTCTTTGGTACAGGCACAATGTTGGCAACCCATTGAGAGTATATGGCTACTTCAATGAACCCCACATCTAACAGCTTCTTTACTTCCTCTTTGATTTTCAACAGAGTTTCTAGCTTCATTCTTCTCAACTTTTGCTTCACAAGTGGACATTCTAGCTTTAGCAGAATAGCTTGAACTGTTATATCTGGATCTAACCCAAGCATATCTTCATAAGACTAAGCAAACACATCTTGAAACTACTTTAGCAAGTCAATAAGAGCTTTTCTTTCATCTGAATGCGACTACCCATTGATCTTAATCTCTTTTTTATTCCCATTTGTTCCTAAATTAACTGTTTCTATTTCAAACTAATTAGGCTACAATTTCGGTTCTTCTTCTTTCAACATGTTAGTCTGTCATGCCCCAAAACCGAGAGCGAAACAGACATCGTGCACTCGTGAATGAGTCCTAAAAATGCACAAGGCTCGGAACCTACTGTGTTCATAATGACCAAAAATTTACTAGTCAAGATGTACAAAAGTTTATAAGACAGTCATGGCTATAACTAAGGGAAACTAAGTATGCAAAAAAATGATTTATCATTTCACATCTATGTCAAGCATGTGTGGCTAACGGCCTAAGTCCAAAAAGGATCTAAGTCCAAAATATTGACTCGCCTTCTAGCTCGTCACTCCCCCTGGTTAACCGTGCCTCGGGTCTCACTTCTTGAAATGGTGGAGAAGGAAAACTATGAGATAAGATATCTCAATAAGTAAAAATATGGATAGCCCGTGAGTAAAATTTAAGCATGCCTGATAAACAATTTAACATAACAAAATGTTCAACGATAAACCATTTATGCATAATAAGATTCAGCAGTAGTCTCATCTATAAGTCATGGCCATTATTTAACAAACTTTCACTGGCAGGTGTCAGTAATAACCAATGTATTATCCCATTGGCAGGATTACAAAATGAACCAGTCCTATCGGTATACATGTTGACATGTGCTAGCGTTTGGAAACTCTCATTAACGGGCATTAGTAATCATGACTATATTAGAGACAAAACCATTCAGGATTTACAGGAAAAATCCGTAATTCACAATCAATCTCAAATTTCAAGAATAAACTGGAAAAATTTCATGTGGGCATGCTCAACCCCAAAAATAATAAAAATTTTCATTTCCATTCTAATCATGCTCATATTTGTGTAAAACGAGTTTAGTCTCGCCACCATTTCAAAAACCATAACAAATATGCTTTCAAAAACCTTTACCTCAAATCCAAAGGCATTACCATACTTTTACTTACCTCAATTGCATAACACAGAAAACTCACTCCAAGTGCTAGGGTGACAGAACAATCAAGAACCTAACCAAAATATTCCAAAATTAATAACCATATGACCGGACATCTCAATTTTATTCTCAATATAAACTAAACATTTAAACCTTCCTATTGTTGCCGGTCATTAATCCCGTAAAGAAATCTTATTTATTTATTTATTTATCCTTATTTTTCTTCTATCCGAAATTTGAGCACAAAAATCAGGTTGTGCATTTATATATATGTACATAAACATACATATACAAAATTCTCTAAATTCACGGACAACATGGAGGAACCAGCTTTGGCAAAGCAATAGCTAATTCACGGGATTTTTTTTCTCTAGAACCTCACAGTAGCCAATTAATACCCAATGACATAAATTCTACATGAATTAAGCTTAAATTTTGTTCTAATTGCTATCGGAATTCATCCTCTATTTCAGTAGAAATTCGGACAGCGCAGGGGCGGCAATTAATGGATAAATTCAGCAACTAATGGGTAATTTTGGACTTAGAGTAAGTTGTCACATACCAGAAAATTCAGCAAGCAAAAATCGGAGCTGCTGGGTTAGGGAAGCCAAAGAAAATTAAAGGAGAATTTAAGGGATCTACCAGAAATTGGGAGAACCAAAAGAAATTAGAGTAAACCCAAGCCAAATCAAGGGAGAAAAGAGGAATTGGTGGGTGTTTCCTTACCAAAAACTTGAAAAATTCACACCCACACAGCTAAGAGCAACAAACGGAGGGGGAAGGAACAAAGCAGATTTGAAATTTTTCTGCAGGGGGAAGATTTCTAAGTTCTAAATCTTGTTCTTGAACAAGAAAAGAAGGGAAAAAAATCAAGCTTTTACCGTTTCTCAAGAGGGTGGGTGTTGTCGGTGGCTTGGGGCTTCTTGTTCGGCTGCAGGGGAGAAGAAGAAGAGCAGAAACGCATGGCTGAGGAAGAAAGAAAGAAAGAAAAAAAATCAGCCAATCCTTATCCTAATTCTTTTCTCTTTTAAGTCCCTCAAATCTGTAAATTTTATGATTAAGCTAAACAATATTATTTTCTCACAATTAGGTCCCTAGTTCACACTTAATTGTTCTAGAAATTTTTGGGGTATTATATAGTCAATTAAGGAAAAGGTTCTAATTCTTCATCATCTTCCATAGAATAAATTGGTTCATCAAAACTATGTATAAGTTTAGAAATGATATCACTATTTGTGGATTTATTATCAACAAACTTGGAGATGGAAATTTTGGCTAGCATAAGAAAATTGAAAAAAGCAAAAGAAAGTGAACAATTTTGCGTACGAAGAGAGGGAATGAAAATGAAAGTAACATCATTTATTGAAATGAACTGAATGAGAACATTATTTGTCATGCCTATAATGTTTCATAAAATATAAAAGGCTTGTTTTAACCATCTCTTCTCACAGTCACAAGCTTAACCATAAGAAGATTAACAATCTTACGATTTAATGATAGGAATAAAAAGCATCTCTACTATCCAATTGTCCAAAGATTCACCATGAGTAGGCAAAATAACCTCATCATCATCCATCCCTTCATCAATGATGTATATATTTAACTTCTCAAAAGAAGTGTTCAAACCATCATTATTTGTTGACACTAAAGACTTGAACAAATCAACAATTCCATATCTTCTTCATTTGAAGCATCCTCTACAATCACCTCATCATCATAAGCAATTGGAATCGAATTACTTCTCAAATTCTCCTTTTTGAGTGCTATGTCAATTAGCTGTGTCATATCCACACACAACTTCAATAGGTTTTGGAAAAGTTGCTTGAATATGAGGAATATGTAGTTGTTCCTTATTTGGTTCTCTTCCTTCTAGCTTAGCCCAATGCTTTTTAGCTTTCTTGGTCCTCATCCATAACCATTCCTTCTTAGTGGGCTTATATCCTAAAACAAACCTTGCTGATGTACCAATCACCTCAATTGGTTCCTCAATTCCTTGCAGTCCAATTCCTAAGCCTTTTCCAACTTCAAAATGATTTTCCAACATCATGTTAACAACTCCCTTACTCACTCTAGAAAGATTTGGTGTTCTCAAAACTGAGCCTTCTGCAACATATGTGGTTGAGACAAACTCCGTAGAGTGGTAAGTTGCTTCTTGGCTTTGAGAGTCTACTTCTACATATGGCACAGAAGTAGCCTTATGGATGGCATAATCCTTTTCACCATTCATAGTAACCAAAGAGTTGCCCACAATATATTTTAACTTATTATGCAAAGTAAAAGGTACTGCACTAGCCATATGAATCTAAGACCTTCCAAGCAACATATTAAATGTAAGCTCAATATTCATAACTTGAAAAGTTATGTCAAATGTATATGGGCCAATGTTGACTGATAATTCAATCTCCATCTACTACTTTCCTTGTGCCATCAAAAGCACAAATTGTTGTCTTACAAGGCTTAATGTATGACTGATCCACATGAAGCTGATTCAAAATTGAATGAGGCATAACATTCAATGCCGACCATTATCAATAAGCACTCATGGGACATGCATGTCTTTACAAAGAACAAAAATGCGAAGAGCCTTCACGTGTTCTCTTCTGTCTTTAAGGATCTCATCATCAATAACGTTGATAAAGTTTGGTGTGAGGATAGTCCCTATCACATTGCCAAATTTCTTAATAGCAATATCCTTTGGCACATGAGCCTCATTCAAAATCCTCAACAAAGCATTTTGGTGGGTCTCCAATGCCAGCAAGAGTTGTAAAATAGACACTTTAGCAGGAGTTCGATTAAGTAGCTTCACCACACTATGCTCACTTTTCTTCAGAATGTTAAGAAAATCATTTATTTCTTGCTCTGAAATAGACTTCTTAACTTGTTCCTCGTGTATTTCCTCAATAATGATTTTCTTTTATGACTCCTTTTCTTTACATTACCTCTCTACACTTCCATAACTACACCCACTTCAGGTTATAAGAGAGATATCTTCAACAAGGAATTCTTGTCTAGAGACATACGTGCTAGTCTCGTAATTCCAAGGAACAGCTTTATAGGATTTGAAGGATGACTTTGGAGGTGGATAAAGAGTTAAAGGCAGTTGCTAGAAAGATGATGCCTACTTGCTTCCTCTCAAAGTGAATGGTTTCATCACAATAGTTGCAATACTTGGCCCTTTTAATATCAAAGGTTGACTAGGAGTTGATGACACTTGATTAGTAATGGTAACTGCAATCTCCTTTAGATCTTTAACAAAGTCTTTATCAATCATATTAACTGTTGGACCATCATGTGTTGGTAAAGGGTTTTTAGTGATATTCAAACCAACAACCTCAAGTTTTGATGCAATTCGTAACTCCTTTGCTTCAAACAAAGGATCTTAGATATGATGCTTTAAAGCAAGACAATTTTCAAGGTCATGCCCAACACCTCCACTATGGTATTCACATCTTGCTTGTGGGTTATACCATATTGGAAATGGTGGATTTAATAACACCATAGGTACAGGGGTAACAAGCCCAACAACCATCAACTGTCAAAACACTTCAGTATATGACATTAGAAGTTTATCAAAATAGCGTCTCTTTTTCTCTTGTTGTGGACGAGTTGTCCCAAAGGCATAAACGGGCCTTGGTTGATTTGTAAAAGCCGTTGATTGATAAGTTGGAGCTTGGAACTGATTCTTGAACTACCCACATGACTGATTATTTCTTTTATATGCCTCATAAACTGAGCTTATAGTGCCATTCTCATTCTCGTTTTTTCGATTTTGGCCAACTTTCTTTGAACTAGGAACCCCTAAACTACCATTTTGGTATTCTTCAAGGAGACTCTTCATTGCTTGATAATCAATAATAATTCTAGACTTGATTTTGTCCTCCACTTGTTCTCCCACAACAACCAACTAAGCACAGTGTAATTCATACAAGTTATTAACTTCTCACGATAAGGCCTTTTGGTTGAATTGATGAATAAATTACTCAATTCATGGTAAGTTAGTGGAGGTTGAACTCAAGCAACTAATCCATGCCATCTCTGATCAAATTCCTTAAAACTCTCACTTGGTTTGTTTTTCGTCTTTTGAAGATCTTCTCTACTAGGAGCTAATGATGTGTTGTATTCATATTGTTTCATAAAGTTGTGAGGCAAATCATGCCAACTTTTAACTTTACTCTTGTCTAAAGTTGAGAACCAAGCATCTACAAGACCTATCAAACTGTCCTGAAAATAATGTATCATTAGCTTCTCATCATTGGCATAAAGAGCCATCCTTCTGCAATACATTGTCAAGTGAGCTTAAGGACAACTAGTGCTGTTGTACTTATCAAACTCAGGCAATTTAAACTTATGGAGCAATTGAATGTTTGGGGAAAAGCACAAAGATGAGATGTCCACTGGTTCATTGGTTTGGACACCTTGCATCAATTTGAGTGTTTCCTCCATCAACTGCACCTTCGCTTTAATTCCTTGTCTTCATCCTCTATGATTGACTTGATACTTGAGTCTCTACTTGATCATTTTCATTAGATTGAACTATAGCAACACCAACATTTAGAACAAATGGTTTTGTCCCAGAAGCTCCAACAATAGTCGAATTTAGTGGGCAAGATGACATTGGCTCCTTTCCAAGAGTTAAAGTAGATGTGGCAATAAGGAGGCTTGCCACGGGAACATTTCCTTCAAATAAAGGATTTGTTGTCAAAGATGCCTTTGTGACTAAAGGTTGCTTGAAGAGACTGGAAGTAAGCCATCAATTCCTTCAAAGTATTTTCCAATTTTTCAACACGATTTTCAAGAGCTCCCTTCTTTTCGTCGGCCATCTTCTTTGCAAGAGCTCTAGTGAGAATAGGTGAACAAACCCTTAGATAATTCCTTTTAGGGCCAATCTTTTTAACACCTAAAAGGAAATATAAGCAATATTAACAAATCATGAATTTATCTAATTGGTATTTTGAAAGATAAGTTCCCAAAGTTCCCATTAGATAAAAATCAATGAGTAAACCTATCTTCTAATTATTTATTTTACACATGGATTCCTTATTGTTAAAGGTAACTTTAGCCAATTGCTTGTAAGGAAAGGAAAAATAAGAGCAAAATAATTATCATGAGGAGATTGCCTTCTTCATGACCTTTTCTTTTGTTGATTTTTTTTTTTTAGAAAAGAAAAAGAAAAATAATGAGGAGGTTGCCTCTTCATATCTTTTCTTCTTTATATTGAGGAACATGCTTTTCTCGATAAAATTCAAGAAAATGTGAAATTTGATTTCAAACTTTATTTCCTTTATTTAAAATTTTGAATATAACAACTAATAGATAATAATCATGAACTTTCATTTCTCTTTGTTTTTCCAATACTCTATTGTTTCAAGTTCACGTTCACAATAATCCCTTATCATCCTTGAAAGCCTTTCCACAAAATTTGAAGTTGCATCATGTTGATTTGGTAGAATAGTATGCTCAACCTTCATCGCTTCAAAATAGATTCCGTTGACCAAATAGAGACCCTTCCCCTTTCTTTCTTTAATTGATCAATTGAGCTCATGCTTCCCTCAACTATCCATTTAATCCTCTTACCTCTGCTTCTAATCCTCTTATCTTCTCATTTTGATGAACTTGTCATGTTTGCATCAGTGTCAATTTTTCCTTCATCAAGTTTTCATTATTTTGAGCCTCCTCAAGTTGTTGCAACAATCATAATTTATTATCAAGCAAATTGTCCACTTCATTTTCAAAGCCCTTAAGTTGATCAATCTCATCTTGCTACTAGTTTACTTGAGTTTTTAAATCGGTATTCTAATTCTTGACTTGATTGAGCTCATCCTCCAACTTGTTTTTATCATGCATTAAATGATCATTTTGCCTTTCTTTCTTCTAGATGACCCTTCTTAATTTTTTAAGAAGTTGTGCATGCTTGCCAACTTTTTTCTCTGCCATTCTTTTTCAAAAGTTATAGAATTCTTTTCTTTAATAAATTTTTGCTTCTCACATTTTAAAAGATAAATATCCATATTTTTCTCTCAAATTTTGTTTTCATGCTTGACCTTTTAAGCACATGACAAACTTTCTAGCTCTGCTACTCTTTTCTTCAAACCCACAATGATAGCTTCTTTAACAATCAAAATGTCACAAGGGATAACTATGTCTTGAAGCCAAACTTTCCTCCATTCTCAAACTCACAAGTGACTGAAATCTTGTTCCTTAAGAATTGAACTTCACATTGTGACCACACTTCTTTGGCAAAGCCAATTTGATTAAGTACTTGAGTATCAAGAGAATAATCAAACCCATATGAAGAAATACCATCTAGCGATGGTTTACTTTGCCTATCACGGAATTACCTCATCACTAGTGCTGAACTATCACTAGTAGCTCCTCGAATGCCCAACAATAGAATCTAATTATAGCCACATGGAGGATAAAAGTAATCAGTAGACTTCAACCATGTCACACACCAAAATATGCCTTCAAATTTCAAATTTAAGAATTGTTGATGCCACTGGTCAGCCATTTTCTTTTCTAATTGATCATTTTTTTGCAAAACTCCAAACTCCCTAATTGTGGAAAAATTTACCTTTGATAAATGTGCATGTATCCATATTATAAACAAACTAGCAATAAATGTGAATCTACCTTTGCCATTAGCTTTGATATAATTAGCATCGCATAGAGTTTCAGCAATTAAAATAGAAGCAACATTAAGATTTGGATTCTTGATCAGCTGCTCAAACATTGCTACAACAAATGAACTAATAACCTCCATATTAGTAGGCAAAATAACCATTCCATAAATACCCAAAGCAACAAAATTCAAACGATCTCCCTCAGAGAGTGAATTTAGATCAAACTTTAGTTTTGAGCACATTATGTTCCAATTAACTTCCCAGCCTTCATTTCTCTTCATAATGAAACTCTCTGTCAATTCTAAAGGAAAGCTCAAAATCTTTTGTAACATGGACTGAAATTGCAACTTATTTAATTAGAAATTAACAGGATTTGGAACTTAAATTTCTAAACTCATTGCTAGGCGACTGAGCAATAATTGAAAATATTCTTCAATGGTAGGTATCAACTCAAACTCGAGGAAAACAAAGCATTAGTTTTGAGCACATTATGTTCCAATTAACTCCCCAGCCTTCATTTCTCTTCATAATGCAACTCTCTGTCAACTCTAAAGGAAAGCTCAAAATGTTTTGTAACATGGACTGAAATTGCAACTTATTTAATTAGAACTTAACAGGATTTGGAATATAAATTTTTGAACTCATTACTGGGCAACTGAACAATAACTAAAAATATTCTTCAATGGTAGGTACCAACTCAAACTTGAGGAAAACAAAGCAATGAAGATGCACAACATAAAATCTTAGGCTTGCCCTAATGATTTCCTAGTCCAGCTCTACTTGCAACACTTCATCTATTCTACCAAGCTTCTGGTCAAACCTCACTTTATCAAGATTACTTAGACCATTCCAAGTAGCAACCAATTCTTTTACACAAGGTCTTTAGGTCTACACAGAGAACCCATCCTTGTGTGACTTGTTCTTCTTTAACTGTAGACATTCTAACTCTAAATTCACCCTTTTTCCTTTACTATCCTTTTTCTCCAAAGAATTCATGTGTAAAATAATCAATTACCTATTTAATAGAGAAAAGAAAAAGGAGAGTTAATAAATGTCACACCTTTTGGTCAAATTCGTCACCTAAGAAACACAAAAAACATTATTTAAAAAATAAAATACTCCTTACATTTCCTATGTAAAAGGTTCTTAAACTTTGAAGGTGGTTTACTAGGCTCACCGTCCTATGGTTAAGTTTTCATCTAAGTCCATTACTTGCTATTTCATAGTGGATCCTATACAATTAGGCCTTTTCAACTACTAACTTCCATAAAGTCAACAATTATTGACTTCCATAAAGTCAACAATTGCCAACTTCTATAAAGTTAACAACAGGCATTTCATGACCTAATATAACAGTAGCATTATGGTTGGTAGGCTATATTAACTCACAAAATGAACCTAAAAGAGATAAATCCCACTTCACAAGGAAAAGCATTGCGTTTTGCATTGTTCCATGAGTTATTCATCTATCTAGAGGTTGGGTTCGCCTCATCAAGAACAAAATGATATGCAAGTGAGTTGTGTGAGGGAGTATGCACATAAAATGAACATAAGAAAATAGCAAAAATATAAAATAAAATAACAAAATAAAAAACCTACAAGGTACTCCATGCCACCTACAAGACAAAAGTTAGTAATTGAAAAACCCCAAAATTAAAGTATAATTGGCTTGACCCCTCAATGTCCCCAGTGGAGTCGCCAAAACTATTGATATGCCAAAATGGATGGAGTCACCATCTATCCAAATGAGGTGGGATAGATCACCAAAGTCTGTGTACAAATTGACTAGGATCGAAGGGAGTCTGGAAAAGGTGTTAGGCACCTCACAACTTTCATATAAAAATAGTTACCAAATACTTTAATTTTGGAGTATTTTCAATTTTTATAAAAAATAATTACCAAAAATAAACAAAAAAATCACTTAAAAAAAATCTGTCATTATCTTTTTTTCTGTTTTTGTTCTTTTTCCTTTTTTTGTTTTTGTTTTTCTTCTTTTTTCTTTTTATGTTTCTGTTTTTTTTTTATGTTTCTATTTTTCTCTTTTTTTTGTTTTTGGTTTTGTTTAATATATTTTTTTACACTTTTCCTATCTTTTGTTTCTTTTTTTTTTTTTTCTAATGCCTCAACCCACTTCATACTCCCTAAGAAAGTTTCCTTTTTATTTCTTTATTTTTTTCCTTCTGTCTAACACATCTCTCAAGCTAAATGATAACAGATCCTACGAAAAACTTCATGAATAAAATGAAATTGACTTTTTCAAAAACTAAAAAAATTCTGCAACTGATTACTTTGGATCACAGGAAACAAAACTAATGTGGGGGGGGGGGGGGGAATAAGTGAAATCATGTTTGCGGCAAGGACACAACCAATAAACATTTTCTAAACAATGCAAACCTGAAGAAAGAAAAAATTAAACTTTATTTTCTTAAAGTTGCAGATACAAGCTTATGTATTTCCCCTTCTTCCCTGCTCTGTTTCTTCTTCTTGATCTTTCCAAATTTTCCTTTGGTTTTTTCAATTCCCCTTCTAAAGTCGAAGACCCCCTTTTATACAGAAACGAAGAGAACTCAAATCCTTTTCTAATTATAAATTCTAATCTCAATCCCTAAAATTACAAAAAATAATCTAGCCCTATTCTAAATTGGAATTCTAAAACTAACCTAGCTCTTTACACATCTTCTCTTTTTTAAGGCTAGATTCATACCTCTTAAAGATTAGGACTCCCAATTTGAATCAACTTTGAAAACTTCTTTTATGATTCTTGTTGAAGACTTCTAATCTAGATAATTCTTCATACTGATGTAGTATTCTATCCAAACTAGAATAGATTTAGGGATAAACCCAAAGCATTTGGGAATTTTGGGAGAATGGCTAGTGGCAGAGGAAGAGGGAAAAAAGAGGAATCGTGAAAATGAGGGCTAGGGTTCGTTTGAACCCAACCTCTCTCTTTATTTTTTTTAGCCCATTGGCAAACAACATCATTTCGCCATTTCCTCCTCTCAACCCTTCAAGTTTCCATTTTTTACAGAAATAGTCCATAGATTTCTAACCTTATCTTTTAGCCCCTGATAAAATTGGGTTATGACACTAACTGTTTACACCTTAAAAATAAATTAATGAGATAAAGCCATGTCTTAAGAGTAAGCCCAATTTTTAAGGAGATTAGGTTGATTTGTGTTGGGCCAACTTAGATTTCAATGACCCAAACGGAGTTATAAGGAGGATGGATTTCCAGTGACAGAGGAGAAGCTGGATTCTGGTATTTTGAGTTTGATTTAAAGTAGGAAGTTGAGAGTTTTTAGGGAGTTATCTTTAAGATTTTGTTGGAGATAAGGTTAAGTAAAAACTGTCAGTTGCCAAACAGCTGCCAAACATGGAACCCCTACTACTCGATCATGATGGGAGAGGGCTAAGAAACATGGAGGAAGTTTCCAAGCATTGAAGGAAAGAAAAATAGATAGAAGAAATCAGTTACAGATGGCTTGCCTTACACACACACTGCCCAGAGCATATTTTTCAACTTTCAGATTGCTTTTTCCAGATTTCAACAATAGTTTCTAGATTAGTTTACCATATCTGTTCTTGTTCATAGCCTTAGGTTAGCTTTTTCCATCCTTGTTCATATCTTTTGTCAAAGACTTCAATTTAAGTTAGTTTTTAAGCATTTGGAAGCAATTCAACCTGCAAAACAGGTCTGCCTTGTTGATTTGGTTGGTTCCTCTTTCTTTTATGGATTAGATTATGTTATTTGTTCATGTAAATAGGTTCAATGCTTTCTGCCTTTGTTCTTTTGTTTCTACACAATAGCCAGACATGCAATTTATTTAATTTTAACTTTCAGATTTAATTTTATAAGTTTTCAGACTTTAATTATTTCGTAGATTTTCCTTTAGTTTTAGTTATCAAGTAGTTTAGCTATTTTTATTTTAAATCTGCAAGTAATTAATTTTAATTGTTATGGATTGCATAGTAGAAATTATTGTCTGTGGTTTTACATTTTCTGCTGTCTACGAATTTTATTTTTGTGGCATGTTGTTTCCTTTTATTAATCTCATGTTAGATTAATTGCCTTAGGATTTTGTGTTAATTTAGGATTTGTAGCTTTTATTACACTTTTGTGGTTGTAAAGTCCTTGGAGGTTTCCAAGGCAATTAGTAACTCATTTTGCGGAACTCCACCCTCTGTTTTGCAACATCGTCTGGGGCGCAATTTATTTCATAAACGTTCTTTCCAGCCATCCTTTCTGGAGGTCGACTGTTGGAAAGGAGAAGGGTCATCTGGAAAATCCTATTTTCTTGTTTTTAGACAAAGCAAGTGGCACACCTAATATCTAAACTCACATGGTAAAGGCCGGTTGAGAATTTTTGGGGAAACAATCCTTTGTTGGCACGCCCGGTGGGACAACCAGCAGGGTGTATCAGTTAAAGTTCATGGATCCTCTGTTCATACATCCAGAGGTGTCTGGAGCCATGCCACCAAGAAAGAGCAAAGATAAAGAGGTTCAACCAGCCCAGGCTGAACATGCAGATGACAGTCCAGTCTACTCGGAGGGTGAGAATGATCCAGTTGTTCCTCTCCTTTTGTCACCCTTTGTGGAGCAATCATATGGCAATCTAGTTTTCAAGGAAAGGGATGCATACTGCAAAGATGAATTAGCGAAGTCATGTAATGTGATTAGAGACTTGACTGAACGCTTTGAGATATCATGCAGGGGGCGGGCCCAAGATATTCAGAGAATTGTTGAGAGACAAGCATAATCCTCCAGACAGCATGATGAGGTGATGAGACAATGTATGGTTGAATGGAGATGGGTTTTCAAAGAAGGCACTAGGGTGATATGTGAGACTGGAGAGGAGAGTCGTAGAACACTGCAGGCTGTTTCAGAACAAGTAGTTGAGCAAGTGCGATAGCCCAGACCTGAGGTCCCTCCTCCAGCCGTTAAAATGCCAAGACAGATTCAGGAAGCCCCAATCCTAGCACTCAGGGGGCAAAGGAATCAGCCTCATCCTTATATTCAACAATAGAATCTCTTCATGGGTGAAGGGCAAAGATAGCATGAACCAATGGAGGCTGCTGCTTCTGTTGCAGACCATGGCCATCAACCTCAGTACAGGTATATTCCGCCAAGTAGGAGGGGAAATGTGGGTCCTCATCATCAATCATGCCCAAGGGACTTTTTCCGGCCACAAGTTCCTCCAGCCCAGTCGGTACAGCGCGGTCTGCAGAATCAACCAACTTAATTATTCAATAGAGATCAACTAATAGATTTGGTACAAGAGACCTATAGGCCAGCCTTGAGACCATTGGTACGTCTAGCCTACAAGAAGCCTTATCCAGACATCATCGATCATGAAAATCCTTTTCCAAAGGGTTTTAAAGTGCCTGAGTTCACTTTATTTTCTGGTGAGGTTGGTCAGTCCACTATTGAACATATTGGACGCTTCACAATACAGTGTGGAGAGGCGTCTGGAGATGATAACTTGAAACTCAGACTATTCCCTAGCTCTTTGACTAGGACAACCCTTACTTGGTACCTTAGTCTGCCTTAAAATTCAGTCTACTCTTGGAGGCAAATAAAGGACTTGTTTCATACTCAATTCTATCGTTGTGAATCGGAATTGTCTATGGTAGACTTGTCGAGGTTAGCCCAAAAGCCTGGAGAGTAGTCTGAGGCATTCCTTGCTAGGTTCCAGAGAGCCAGATTGAAATGTCGAGTTGCACTTCCAGAACAGGAATTTGTCAAGCTGGCTTAGAATGGTCTGGACATTGAGCTCCAAAAGAAATTTGAGGGGATGGAATTCCGAGACTTCTATGAATTGTCTTATAAAGTGGCTCAATATGAAAATCTGCTGAAAGAAGATGTTCAAAAGAAAGTAGCATCACATGGAACCTATTTTGATCTTGATGTGGCTGAGGTGGTTATAGACAAGCCTGTTGTTTGTCCAGACCTTGTCAGACCAACTCACCAGCCTGAAACGTCTGTGAGACATTATGTTGGTGAGGTTGGAAAATAATATACTTTTGATGTATCAAAACCTAGTGATATATTTGACCACCTTAAAAAGAGTGGTTTGATTAAGCTGTCGCTAGGACATAAAATCTCGACAGCGGCTGAAATCGAAGCTAGAGATTATTGCAAATTTCATAATTCTTGGAAGCATTCTATTGATAATTCTCTTATTTTTCGTAATGTCTTGCAAGAAAAGATTGATAAAAGTATCTTGAAATTTTCAGACAAAGTGAAGGAAACCATAGGAGTAAATGCAGATCCTTTTCCAACTGTGCCTGTTGGCGTGAATGTTGCAGACCTCAGGAGTGTTGCCAGAAATCGTAGTTTGCCTTATGCTCAAAGGAAGCTTGTTGTTGAAGACTTGAGGTGGGTCATTGAGACGCAAAGATCTAGACATAACAAGAGCGTTAGGTTAGACCAGTAGAGGCTCGAGGGGCAAGGAAAGATCATTGTGACCAGGAACTTTAGCCTAGAAGGTGCCAGACGTTACTCAGCTAGTACTAGATCTCCAAGAATGGTCAAACCACCACTCAGGTCACCCTTTAGATGATGGGAGAAAGTTAGTCACCCAAAGTTTCTAGCCCAAAACCTTGAGGCGCAGATTGCAGCGCAAAAGGGTTGAAGAGTGAAAAAGGCAACAGAAGCAAGTGGAGGCTGAGGGGAAGTTCATCTTGCAGACCACGCCAACCTACCAAAAGGAACATGGTGTGGGTGAGAAAAGAGAAAAACGGAAATGTAACCCAGACTTTACTAGAGGGGGATAACCAATCTCCAGCTTCTCCAAAGGTGGCATCTGTCATTGTGAGTCTAGACAGAGTTTTGAAAGCAACTTTTGAAGCATAAGAACAGTCTGGAAATCCTGGAGGTGAATCAAAAGAAGATGGAACTATTCATTTTGGGGAATTCTTAGTGAATTTGTCATGTTTGGTGCTGACATTACCCTTGGTTTTCCAAACCAAGAAGAAGGAGGAACCAATTGTCTGTGAGTTCTAAGAATAGACAGAAGAAGAGGCAATCATTGTTCCAGCTTAGGATGATTAAGAGGAGGACATGGCTGACAAAATAGTGTTTGAAAAACCAGAAGAAAAGATGGCCAGACACATTAGGCCACTTTATATCAATGCTCACATGGATGGGACTCCAATCAATCGTGTCTTGCTGGATAATGGAGCCGCAGTCAATGTCCTTCCAACTTGCATGCTTTACAAAATAGGCAAGTCTCTTGATGATTTAGTGCATACTGAGGTTACAATTAGTGATTTTACAAGAGGGGTGAATCGTTCAAGGGGTGTGCTGCTTGTTGAATTAACAGTGGGAAATAGGACACTGATGTCTGCATTTTTCATGGCGGATACTGTTGCTACTTACAATGCACTTTTGGGGCGTGACTGGATTCATTCAAGTTGGTGTGTCCCTTCTACACTTCACCAGAAGCTAATTTTCTAGAATGGTGGCAAGGTTGAGGTCGTGTCTGTAGATAATAAGCCTTTTTCAGCCAATACTCACTTAGTGGAGGCTAGATATTATGAAGAAGACATTGGTACCATTCGATTTTTTGGGATGGATAGACATGGGAAGCCGATTGGGATAACAGCATGTAGCAGACCGTCATTGTCCAAGCGTGTTGTAGAGGAAGTCTGTGATGAACTTCTTTGGCCAACAACAATAATTCCTTATAGGCCAAAGGGGAAACTAAAAATTGAAGAAATTTAATGAAGCAAGCACGTCTGAGACAAGGAAGAGAAAAGGCCGTGTTGGAATAACAAAGAAATTAACGGCCTATTTTGCTGAAAAGGCAGTTCAAGTGGACAGGTCTAAAATTGTTCATGAAGGTGAGGAGGCAGACCAGGGTGATGAAATAACTTTGGAGGAGCTGGATCTTGCCCCAGCCAAGTTGGATGATTTAAAAGCTGAAGTTCAAGACCCACTGGAGGAGATCAATCTAGGGTCTGAAAATGAGCCAAAGGTAACATTTATTAGCGGCTCTCTTAAGCCGCAGACACGAGATCAAATTGTCAAACTTTTGCATGAATTTAAAGATTGTTTTGCTTGGGATTACTCAGAAATGCCAAGTCTAGATCGAAAATTGGTGGAACATAAACTACCAATTGCAGAAGGATTCAGACGCATGTCTGCAGAGGTCACCTTGAAGGTGAAAGAAGAAATTGAGCGGCTAGCAAAAGCTGGATCCATTCGGACATGCAGACTTGCTGGTTGATGGAGTAGCCCGTCATAAAATTTTATCCTTCATGGATGGCCATAGTGGGTACAACCAAATTTTTATTGCAAACATAGACTTTCCAAAGACAGCCTTTCGATGCCTAGGTGCTGTTGGAGCTTTTTAGTGGGTTGTGATGCCATTTGGTCTGAAGAATGCTGGAGCTACTATCAAAGAGACATGAATGCAATTTTTCATGATATGATTGGTAAATTCATGGAAATCTACATTGATGATGTTGTGGTGAAGTCACACGGGGAAGAGGACCACCTGATCCATTTGAGGAAGTCTTTTGAGCGGATGAGGCAACATGGCTTGAAAATGAACCCGTTAAAATGTGCCTTTGGAGTGTCTGCAAGTAACTTCCTTGGGTACTTGGTGCATGAGCGTGGTCTGGAGGTTGACAAGAACAAAGCCAAGGCTGTGATTGAGGCAAAACCACCACAGAACAAGAAGGAGTTGCAGAGATTTTTTGGCCAAGTTAATTTCTTAAGACGTTTCATTTTTAACTTGGCTGGGAAAACCAGAGTCTTTTCTCCTCTATTGAAACTCAAGTCTGAGGCGGATTTTAAGTGGGAAGAACACCACCAGTCTGCCTTTGATATGATAAAGCGGTACTTATCCAGACCACCAGTATTTGTATCACCTGTGAAAAATAAACCTTTAATTTTGTATATATCCGGCACAGACGAGTCCATAGGATGTTTGCTGGCGCAGGAAAATGATAAAAAAACAAGAGTAGGCTGTGTATTACTTGAGTCAATGTTTAACCCAGACCGAAGTGAAATATTCTTTGATCGAAAAGCTGTGTCTCACTCTCTTTTCTGCTGCAATAAAATTAAGACATTATTTGATTTATTTTGAGGTCTATGTGGTTACTAAGACTGATATTGTCAAATATATGTTGTCTCGCCCTTTGTTAAGAGGCCGAATAGGTAAATGGATTATGGCCTTATCTGAATTTAATTTGAAGTATATACCATAGAAGGCTGTCAAGGGACAAGCACTGGCAGACTTTCTTGCAGATCATCCATGTTTGGAAGTGGAAGCAGATGAAGAAAAAGGGATTAACTTGCTTTCAATAAGTTTAGTTCCTTGGAAACTTGTTTTTGATGGTTCTAGTACAGAAACCATGTCTGGAGCTGAAGTCGTGGTTATTTCCCCGTCTGGGCTAAAAACACAAATGTCTTTCCAACTGGATTTCAATTGTACGAATAATCAAGCGGAATATGAAGCTTTGATTAATGGTTTTGAGATGTTGGTGGAGCTTAAAGTATCCATGGTTGAGATTATAGGGGACTCACAACTAGTCTTGAAGTAATTGTCTGGTGAGTATACAAATGTATTAGCCTTGCTTTAGCCCCTTATTTTGCCTTGGCTGTGCAATTACTGGAAGAGTTTGATGATGTGTCCATCAGACACGTGCCTAGAGACCAGAACTATGAAGCTAATGAAATGGCCCAGGTTGCTTCAGGTCTGTAAATTCCTGAAGGTGTAATGCAGAAAGTTGTAATAGTTGAAAAGTGCAGTCTGCCATCAATTCATCAATGTGGCATGACAGTTTCTACTTGCAGTATTGATGTCACCCAGACAGACTGTCACTTTCTAATTATTTAGTACCTTAAGGATCAAAGCACTAATGTATCTAGGAAAACCAAAATGCAAGCTCTCAACTATGTCTTGATTGGGGATGTGCTTTATAGGAGAGGCCATGATGAACTACTACTGCGTTGTTTGGATCCGGATGAAAGTTTTCAGATGTTCTCTGATGTCCATGATGGGATTTGTGGTGCACACCAGGCTGGGATCAATAGTTGAAAAGCGTAGTCTGCCATCAATTCATCAATGTGGCATGACAGTTTCTACTTGCAGCATTGATGTCACCTAGACAGACTGGCGCTTTCTAATTATTCAGTACCTTAAGGATCAAAGCACTAAGGTATCTAGGAAAACCAAAATGCAAGCTCTCAATTATGTCTTGATTGGGGATGTGCTTTATAGAAGAGGCCATGATGAACTACTATTGCGTTGTTTGGATCAGGATGAAAGTTTTCAGATGTTCTCTGATGTCCATGATGGGATTTGTGGTGCACACCAGGCTGGGATCAAGATGGGTTGGCTGATTCGTAGACATGGTTTCTTCTGGCCGTCCGTCCTAAAAGACTGTATTGCTTATGCTAAGGGTTGCAAATCTTGTCAGATCCATGGGCCACTTCAAAGAGTTACAGCCTCTGAACTTAATTCTATTGTGAAATCGTGGCCATTTCGAGGCTGGGCTATTGACTTGATTGGTAAGGTGTACCCCCCTTCATCAAAAGGTCATTCATTTATTATAGTGGCAACGGATTATTTTACCAAATGGTTGGAGGCTAAACCAATGAAGAAGGTAGATCAATCTAATGTAATCAAGTTCATCAAAGAGGGCATCGTTCACAGATTTGGTATGCCAGAAACAATTACAACAGACCAAGGCACAGTTTTTGTCAACCATCAAGTGGAGGCATTTGCAAAGGAAATGGGTTTCCGTCTGTTAAATTTTACTCCACATTATGCACAAGCTAATGGGCAAGCGGAGGCTTCTAATAAGGTGGTGATTAATTTGCTTGAAAAAATGGTGGATGACAACCCAGACGCTGGCATGAACTATTTTCTGAAATATTGTGGGCTTATAGAACTTCACAAAGAAGTTCAACCAAAATGACACCTTTTAGCTTGACATATGGCCACGATGCAGTCTTGCCAATGGAGTTAATAGCCAGGTCTTTAAGAATAGCGATTTAGCATAATCTTCAATTTGGGGAATACAATGAGGCCATAATGCTTGAGCTTGAGGACCTTGAAGACACATGTTTGGTAGCTTTGGATAGATTGCAAAAATTGCAAAGTCTTACAACAAGAGAGTGAAACGTAAAAATCTGGCAGTTGGTAACTTAGTCTGGAAAGCAATTTTACCTCTTGGCAAAAAAGATCACAGATTTGGGAAATGGTCCCCAAATTGGGAAGAATCATTTCGAATTCATGAAGTGTTGAGAGGGGGTGCTTATTGGTAAGAATCACTTGATGGAGAGTTTCATCCTAGAAAAATCAATGGAATCTACCTTAAGCCTTATTATCCCACAGTCTGGGAGGCAAGAAGCTTAGAATCCCAAGGAATGGTTTGAGCCAGGTTCATACTTCTGTCTGTGCATAAATAATTTGATTTGCTTTCATTTGTTTATTTCAAAATAAGAACAAGATGGATCAAGTGGCCTTGTTTGGCTATGGGGATAAGCAACCCTCAAATAGAATTAAGTTGGGACAAGATGAAAGAGCTTGCTACAATTATTTTTCTTAAAAGAAAATATCAACAAGTTCAAAAGTAAGTTCATAATGTGGCCTATAGCCATAGGCTGCAAAATCAGAAATAATCTAGACAGTGAAAAGGATGTGCAAGGGACTTAAGGGAAATGATTGCGCCAATCACTCCATTCCATCCTCATGGGAGTGAGCTCTTCTTCAGCTTGGTCGGTAGAGTCTATCAGCCTCTCTAGAATTTGTTGTAAAGTGGCGACATGATCAATGTGAGAATTTAATTCAGCAAATGCTTGAGTCCTTTGATCAGATAAGGTATTTGCAATTCTTCTTGGGAAGAAAGTTGCTCACGAAACCTAGATAACTCAGACTTAAGGCGCTGGATTTCACCTTGGGTGGTCTGGATGTGTTTAATCTAAGCCTCATGATCATGCTTTATAGATAAACACTTTGCCTCCTTGTTAACCAAAGTTGCAGTCTCATCAGCCACAGTTTTACGAGCAGGCTCAGCTTTCCCTATAGCATCTGATTTGACTGCAAAGCGCCTACAAAAATCTATGAATATAAAAGGGAAGTCAGTCCAAAATTTTTTCTGAGATACAGATAAATCTGGCGAGTGACTTAGGATTTTAGCAACGCTGATAATGGTTGGTTGATCTGGAAGGCGACAGAAGTTTGCTGGATCTTCACTAACAAGCTCTTCTAAGGTCTGGATAGCGATGCTGATCTGTTATGGGCTAGGTATTGGTGAGTCTGAGCCAATGCTCTCAATCACTGATTTTCCTTTCCCTTTAAGGTGTGATTCTCTTGACATGGGAAGACTTGTCAATTTCTCAAACTTGGCAAAGATTTCATCTTCCATGGCATCATCAATATTAGTAGGAGTTGAGGTCTGTTTTATATAAAAAAAAAAAATTCAGTGCATACAGGCAGAAAGTTTAAAGCAAACTCTGTTATGACTTTCCAAAAATAGGTTACTTACCTTGGGAGTTGGAAAGCTGGCTTGAAATGGAGTAGATGTAATGGAAGATGTTGTTTTCTTGGTTTTCGGAGAGAGATCAATCACCTCATTTGGGTTGATAGTCTTGAAATTCTTGTTAGCAAGCCGCAAGGAAGAATGAGAGCCTCTCGTCTTAGATGGAAGTTTTTGGATATCTAAAGAAGAGGAGTCTGAGTCTTCGGGGCTTGGAGACTGATCAATTGGGTCTTTAATATTGGGATTGTGAATTATTTCATTAATCAAGCTTTGTAGACAAACATCAACAGTTGAGGAGGCTATGAAGGGAAAAGATGGAAAAATTGTGGCCAACCTTTTAGTTGAAGGAGGTTTATAGGCTGCCCATTTGATACCTGCAAATGAATTTCAAAAGGAGTCAATGCCCTGTAGTTTGGAAATTTAAAGTAAAGTTTACTTTTTGAATTGAATAGTACCTCCTGTAATCCCAACTAGCTACCCCTTAATTCCTAAGATATAAAACTCATTTCTTTTCCTTTATAAAAATGTGAATGAAGTTTTCAATATATATGTATAATTTGTTGTGCAAAATAAAACAAAGATCAACTGTAATCTTGCAAATAAAGTGCAGAAAAATAAAAAGAAAGGGAAGAGAATATCAAGCCGTGATTTATAGTGGTTCCTCCAACCTGAAGTACGTCCACTCCCCAAGCCTCCTTGCTCGAGAGTTCAATACACTAGAAATCTCTTGCTACAGGTGCAAGATTAAACCGGAACAAACTCTTGCTTGCGGGTGCAAGATTAAACCCTCATAAGTGAATCTCAACTCACTCAACCCCTTCAAGGATTATCCCAATCCAAGAAGAATACAAAACCCTTGTAAGACAATTAACCCAAAAGCTCACAAG